AACTGACCAATACTATACATTATTTTATAATAGTTAAGTTTTATATAATAACAAATAATTTTTCTGGGATCAAATTATTTTTTTTGAAGGGGAAAGGGAACGGCAAAACAGTTGATGTTTGTTTCCTATTATGGTTTTATGAATTACAATTAATTCAATTTATACAGTAAAACAAAACAAAATAAAATAACAATACACCTTGGAATATCAAAACCTAATTATATAAAATATATATATATATATTTGGGTGCTGTTACTGAAGGTTTTTTACCTTGGAATATCAAAACCTAATTATATAAAATATATATATATATATTTGGGTGCTGTTACTGAAGGCTTTTTTTTTTTATTTTTATTTTTGGTTTTAATTGATTTTACAGGGATAGAGATTGATTTGGTAAATCAACTCTATCGGTAATCTATACAATCCTACTATTCTCCTTTCGTTATTTTTAATTCTTTTACACTTTTTTTGTTCATCCTCAACATTTCGCTTAATCAATTATGTTGATACATATCGTCGCAAGATACTGAATCACCAGATAGTGATAATTCTAGCGGAGAACTTTACGAGCCACAGGGAAGAACCGCACGTAATACGGCTATCGGTCGAGCAACAGATTCCGTCGCGAAAACCAAAGGCACTTTTACGCGTTCCGCCGCTCTTTTACTTAAAGCTCGCGAGTATTTCGACACGAATCGTCCAAAGAAAGGTCTGCCGTTACCGTCGCTAGCGAACAACCTACATACGAAAAACCCTGAACATACTATATCACTCAAAGCTCAAACACCACTGTTTCAATCGCCAGCACCGTTCCCGCGCAAAATCATGGCAACTGCTAGTAATAATTTATTTAAATACGAAGTCTCGGGACCAAGCAAGGAAAAACAATACATTAGTATTGATCAAGCTTTACGTGTAATACCAATTTTCGATGGTGAAGCCACAGAAGAAAATTTTGATTTTCAACAAGCATGTCGTTTTGCTCTTAGGATGATGCATCCAATTGATACCACATATTTAATGCAAGGTATCCTGACTCGTTTAGCTGGGCGAGCACTACGTATGATTCGATATAAGAAAATTACAAAGTTCAGCAAACTTCATGAAATATTAGATATTACTATTGAAACAAAATAGTCTGTTTTGGGAATAAAGTTGATTCATGCATTTTTTAAAAAGTTATAGCAATATAATGTTAACAAATGTAAAATATAGTATCAAGAATTTTTTCACAAAAGTAGCATATTTTTGTATACGGTATTCATTTTCACCATGAAGACAAGTCCAAAGATCAAATTTTTTTTTTCAAATTAAAGTATATTACATAAGATTTAATTTAAGGTATATATAAAAGTTTCAGTCTTTCCGGAACATTTTCAAAAGTCAAGTTGAAAAAGTTAATTTTTTGTAAAAAAGTTACCATTTTGAAACCCTTCCTGTGGGCTGTTAAAGGATCAAATGTTCACAAAACTATATAAAATGATAGGTAAATATCTAAGGTATCTATAAAAAAAAAAAAAATTAAATTGATTCAGTCATTTTTAAAAAAGTTATGACAATTTTAAGTAAAAAAAGTTATAGTCACCATAATTATTTTTAAAATTGAATTATTTATTGAAATAAGTTTGAAAAATTATAGCTTAAAAAAAA